AAAAAAAAAAAAAAAAAAATTAAAAAAGAAAACCCTCTAATTACGCTTAATAGAAGAACGCCACCCCTACATTATCCTTACTTTCCTAGTCACTGGCCCATCTCCCTCCTTTTTTTCAATCAAGCTGTTAAGACTGTTCTTCCTGCTTCCTGACCACCAACATACCAAGGAGCTACACTGCTCAAACACTTGGGCAGATTCTATTACCCAGCAGTGGCACTGATGAAAATAAATGTTGCTTCCCCCTTTTGGTTAGACTCACAGTTCTTCATCATAAAATGCTGACTGCTCTAAGCTTTCCAAAGGACCAGGCCACAATTAACATATGAAGTGATGATCTGTTCCCAGACTCACTTTCACTTTACTGTTCTTAAGTCTTTCCAGTGAAGAATCTCAAAACCATATCATTCATTGATCATGTCTGGACCACCTGAAATACCTACCTTTATTTTCAAGCATCTTGTGCAACTTCATATGCTTGTAGGTAGCAATTATCTGAAAATTAACGACACTTGGAATATTCAGTCCTTGGTCCTGCAGCAATTTCAAGGCCGCAGCATGAATGAGCTGATGGGACCGTTTGCAGGTTTGAAGTTTGCACTCTCCCCTGACAAAGGATTTGCACACGTGAAACTTGGTGCACTTATCCTTGAGGTTGCAGTATCCATAGAGGGCTTCGCCTTTGTTGTACAGCAAACAGACCTGGTACAATAAAGAGGTAACACTTGAAACATTACTTTTTACTGTGTCTTTTAAGCTAATAAACCACAGCTTCTCTAGCTAAACTGAAGCTAGATGGTGCCTTCTGATCATCAATGGCTGTTCATATTTTGGGATAAAAGCCTGATATTGCAGAGTGTGCCCCAGCCTCTGTGAGTGTTGGCTGCTACCCCCTCACAGCTGATCCTCTCCTACCTTAGACACTCAGGTGACCTGCCCTCCCCAGAGCTTATAGCAACTGAGTGACTGAGGTGGAGGCACCAAAGGCTGGCCCCCTTGACTCAGAACTAGAACAATTGCTGGGCTTGGTGGCTCACTCTTGTCTCAACCATAAATTATGCATTTGTGTTACCTGTTGTGGCTGGTTTCCTCAGAAGAAGAGCCTGAGGCAGGGACTCAGCTGTCTGTGATTTAGTGAAGATGGGCTCTTCAGGAAAACCCAGTGAGGGAGTGAGGAAAGCAGGACAGAGGGAGGGAAGAGCTATAAACAAGGTGAAATCCGGCTTCGACTGGATTCCTGGGAAGTATGCTGCAGAATTGTTCTACCTTTTTCTTCTTTTTTTGAGATAGAGTCTCACTCTGTCATCCTTGGTAGAGTGGCGTGGAGTCATAGCTCACAACAACCTCAAACTCCTGGGCTCAAGAGAATCGCCTAAGCCCAAGAGCTGGAGGTTGCTATGAGCTGGGATGCCATGTACTCTCTACCAAGAGTGACAAAGTGAGACTCTGTCTCTAAAAAAAAAAAAGAAGAAAAGAATGTGATAAAATAAAACCACATAAACCTGATGTTTTCTCATAGAAAACTTTTAACGGGTGGCGCCTGTGGCTCAGAGGAGTAGGGCGCCAGCCCCGTATGCCGGAGGTGGTGGGTTCAAACCCAGCCCTGGTCAAAAACTGCAAAAAAAAAAAAGGAGAGCCTGATGTTTTCTCATAGAAAACTTTTAACTATCTTAGGATTTTATTAGGTTTTTAATTTAATTTAACTTTTACTTTTTTGGAGAAAGGTTCCCGCTCTGTTGCCCAGGCTGCAGTGCAGTGGTATCACCATTGTTCACTGCAGCCTCAAAGCTCTGAGCTCAAGTGATCCTCCTGCCTTAACCTTGGGAGTGGTTGGGACTACAGGTTCCTATCACTACCCTAATTGTTTGCTTAATGCTTTTATTTTTAAAATAATTTGTAAGACTATTCTTGCCTTCTATTTCTTCTTATTAATTTTGATGAGCAGTAGTTTTCTAGGAATTTGTCCATTTCATAGAACTTTTAAAATGTGCCAGCATAAAATTTTACAACATTATCTTAGTGTCTTTTTGGTGGGTAGTATGTATGTATTGTGTACTGTATCTTTAGAAGAGTGGTGGAAGGAATCATCAGGCATTTTCATACAAGAGATGTGAGCCACCATTCTTCCCTCATCCGCTGTGCTTATCTGTGGTCCCTGCTGTCTAAGTGGCCATGTTTGTGCTGCAAGGCACACACCTCCAGTCCCAGCTTAAGGAGCCTACCCCTAGGCTCCTGTCCTAAGTGCAGCCAACCCACTGGCTGCTCACAGAACATCAAAGTAGTCTAATAGGACACGATGAGCCTGGGCCCAGGATATGAGGTTAGAAGCCATAAAACAAAAGATTCAACAGGTCTGACTATATGAAAACATTAAACTTTCTATAGCTCAAAGAGTACCATGACATTAAATGGCAACTACATGGCAGCATGTGCCTACTTAGGAGATTGAGGCAGGAGATCACCTGAGCCCAGGAGTTAGAGGCTGCAGTCAGCGATGATGGCACCACTATATTCCAGCCTAGGCAACGAGAGTGAGACACCATCTCTTTAAAAAAATATTTTTTTAAGGCAAATGGCAATTGCACTACCCCTTCTCTCTGAGAGACAGCGGGGACTAGAGCCATCTTCAGAGCTGCTACTATCCTCCTTACTCTTTATGCCAAGAACCTGCACTGGCTGCTGCTAGAATCTACTTTGCTGGTTGGATTGCATCTGGTTCATAACCAAGACATATCAGACCTGACTTCAGAGGTTGAGATGAAAAAGGAGATGGATGTCAGAAAGAAACCTGGGGCACCTAAGACCAACTCCAGTACTGTCTTCCAGGTACAGATTCTGCTTTTTTTTTTTTTTTTTTTTTTTGCAGTTTTTGGCCAGGGCTGGGTTTGAACCCGCCACCTTTGGCATATGGGGCCGGCGCCCTACTCCTTTGAGCCATAGGCACCGCCCCCCCAGGTACAGATTCTGCTGTGTGGTCTCTGCCATCTGAACCAAAGTCTTCAAATCATATTACATACCTCTAGCCTTTGCCTTTTCCCCTTCTAGACCCTGAAATACCTTGTGGTTAATTTGGGCCACAATTAGGAACTGTCCTCTGTCTTCCCAAGATCCTCCCTCTTCTCTAACCCTCTTCTGGCAAAGTGGGAGTGTTTGTGATAGAATCATTGTGCTAGATCAAAAAATAATGCTTTTAATAGATATTTTTATAATAGTGTCTCTTGGCATTCCTACTATTTTGTATATATAAAAAAAATCTTGTATATTGCTAAACTAGAACAAACACGGTAATTTCACCATGATAGCAATGGGTATGTTTTAAATATTTGAAACTGAATCATGTTGCTGCCAATTAAAAGCCAAAAAAGTACATAGGGAACAATATTTGTAACAAATGTAACAATATTAGGGTGACTTTGTGCTGACTCACCTCTGGTAAAAGGCAGGGGTCATTCTGCAAAAGCAAGATCCGCAGCTGACCTTCATTGAGGCCAAAAAGTCCCTGGTTTTTCAGCACTTGGATGTTGACAGGTGTGTGGATATCATGGGAAAGGGTACAGGTAGACCTAGGAGAACAAAACTCTAGGTCAGAAGCCTGGGTGAAGAAGGGCCCATCTGTCAAATTCCTTGTCTTGGGCAGCTTTCCACTTACACATGAAGTTGTACAATTGTCAAGAAGCCCTGGATACTAAAGCCTAATAAGCACTGATGGATAAGAAAGGGGGGCGGAGGCACCTCCTCTCCCAGGGTCATCTTCATTTTCAGTGAGGCTGCTTAAAGCCAAGGACACCTGTCCCAATCATGGTCTGGACTGAGGGTGGGCATCTGGCCTTGGGTGACCGCGCTTGCCTCTCCAAACAGCTGCACACCCCAACAGTCAACCATGGGAGGGAGGGAAATATCCCCAGCCCCAGCCCCAGCCTCAGCCCCAGCCAGCAGGGTGGGTGGGGGCGGGGTTGGTGCTTTGGGCTAGGATCAGCCAAGGGCGACTCTGGGATGTGGAGCACAGTAGGAGGAAGCCTCAAACTCCAGCTCCGGTAGTCAGCGCCCCAGCACACCACCCAGGCTTCAGTCTGGGGGGCGGGATGGTCAGACTAGCTCAAGGCTAAGGGCACAGGCCCGCTGCCGTAGAACCGTGTGGTTATGTGACAGCGGGCGATAGCTGGCTAAAGTGGATGTCATGGGATCCTCAGACGTCTCAAAAGGACTAGTGGAGTAAGTGAACTCAAAAGTCCCCATCCTGGTTTAACCTGCCGCGGTGTAGAGGATATAAGAGCAGGGGCAGACGCAGCGGGTTTTTTGGCAGGGGGTGGTTGCGAAATCTCAACGGAGCGGACCTGGGGCGCAGGGGGTGGAAAAAGCTCCAGCCCGCGGCCCCCGCCCGGACGCACCGCCCCTCTCGTTTCTAGTCCAGGCCCCGGCTGGCGGGCCAGGCCTGCGGCCCGTGCACGGGGGTCGCGCCGCCGCCTTCGCCGCCCCTCCCGGCCGCCCGGTCCGTAGCCTCACCAGCAGTCCCTGTGGGGGCACTTGCCCAGCATGTGGCGGCGACAGAGGTGCAGCTGGTCGCAGCCCCGGCACTCGCCGCGCTGGTAACGGGCGCAGAGGCGCGCGGAGGACACGGCCACCACCCTCCAAGCCGAGGCGCCGCCGCCTCCTGCGCCGGCCGCGCCGGCCGCCACCTCGGCCTCGGCGTCCCAGAGGCCCTCCTTCATCTCCACCTCCTGCAGCAGGAAGCGGTCGGGCCCGGCGCGCTGCAGCACGTCCCGGAGCTTGGCCTCCGACAGCTCCACGTGGCCGCGCAGGTCCTGCAGGAACATGCGGCCGCCGTTGGCGCACAGCACCTTGGTCAGGAAAGAGCACACCGTGGCCTCCGCCATGGTCGGGGGCTGCGGGCCTTGTGCGCGCAGCGCCCACAGCGAGGCGGCCAGACTCCTCCCCGTCACGTCCACGGTTTCCAGCCCACATCCCGGGGATGGGCCTGGGGAAGGGGTGGGCCTGGGAAGGCCGGGCGAGGGGCCGCCCTGCGGTGGAAGCAGGGCTGGGGCCTGCGGTTCCGCCCTGGACTTGGACGCGGCAGGGACAGCATTTATTGAACCTGCTTGTGCCAGGCACCCTTCGAAGTGACTTCTGGCCTGTGGATCTCGTATAGTGGGGAATCACAGCAGACTTGCTAGCGAGTAAGATAATTGAAAGTACTCTTCTAAGGGCTGCCGAGAAGATGAAATAGGTGAGGTGGCTGGTAGGGGACGTCTCTGCGGAGGTGCCACTAGCGCTTATGAACTGTGACTAGTCCAAATTGAGAGGTGATGCAAGTGTGCAATACACGCAAGGATTTTGAGAATTGAGAAGGAAATGTAAAATATCTCATTAATACTTTTATATGAATCACGTGTTAAACTGATTGTTGAGTATATTCAGTAAAATAAAATGTTATGACAATTTCATCTGTTGCTTTTACTTTCCTAATGCAGGTATAAGAAAATTTTAAATTGCAGACATGGTTTACCTTATACTATTTCTGCTGGACAGCACTGGCCTAGACCTGCACATCTGTTAAGCATCTATCCTTTTTGCCCATCGCCTCGCTCATTTAGTGAATATTGATTGAGCCAACTGCTAATTCACTGACAGTACAAAGATGGATAAGACCACCGGGGAACTCAGCCAGCCTAGTTGCTGTATTACAAGGTGCTTGTGAGCATTAAATGCGTTAATGTCGTGTAATGTAAGGAAGCTGGAAAAAAGGGCCGCTGGCCAGATGCCGGAGACCTTCTCTGCCACGCTAATAAGTTTCGACTTAAATCCTGAGGACTTTAAGAAGCCACTGAAGGATTTTCAGCTGAGGAGCAACATAGTTCCTCTATCTAGAAGTCTTTCTTTCTTTCTTTCTTTTTTAAGGATTTGGTTTTTATTTTATTTCGCAGTTGTTTTTTTTTCTGGCCGGAGCTGGGTTTGAACCTTCCCTCCAGCATATGGGGCTGGTGCCCTACTCCTTTGAAGCACAGGCTTTCCCTTATACTCGCTTAGGTGTCTTCTTTGTGTCATTCGGCCCTGAACTTGAATGTCTTCTCTTCAGCAAGGCCTTTCCTGCCTCCCAGTCTAAAGTAGCTTCCCAGTCTCTGTGTGGAACTTATCACACAGTTTTCTTCTTTCCGTTTATTTGTATGTTTGTGAAATTCAGGCTCATGAAAGCAGGAACGTTTGTCTTGTTCGTTGCTGTGTCCTCACCACCTGAAACAGTGCCTGGCTGTATTGTAGGGTAGGTGTTTCAGAAAAATCCCTCACTGCAATGAGAATAATGGATTTCTAGAAAAGTGAGAAAATACAGGGAATAACAGAAGACAAACAGGATGTGGGGACTATAATCCCAACTTGTGTTGAGTTTGTAGTGGACCACTCAAGGTAAGATGCTCAATAGGTCGTTGTGTTACATGGTCAGGTCTAGACCATGTCCCCTTGTTACTTAGCATCTGTCCCTGGACCCTCTGCCTAGGGTCTTTTTCCAGAAGGAGTGAGCAAGCCAGCAGGAGAGGCAGGCTGGAGTTACCAAGGAGAGAAGACCTGCAAAAGAGCCCTCAACCAGTGATGCTGGGGAATGGCTTTGTCTCCTCTCAGACCTCTACAGTCGATATGAGGATTGTCTTAAACCAAAGACATTTAATATTCAACAATGCAAAAAAAGGCCATTTTGGAGGTTCCTTTATTTCACAAAAAGCAGAAGCTTCTGGAAGTGGGGCTGCTGTACATGCCCTCTCCAGGGGGTAATGGACATGAAATAAAAAATGGAGAAGACCCCCCCCAGTGCCTGCATAAATAGCAAACTTACCTCCTATTTCTTCTTTACCCAGAAGCCTTTCTCCTCTCTCCCTCTTCCCCATTAAGTTAGGTATATAAATCCTCATCTTAAACTGTTTTGAGGAGTCACATCTTTTATGCCCGCCCATATGCATATGAATAAACTTTGGGGTTACTTTTCCTACTAGTGTCAGTTAAATTTGCAGGCCCCAAGACGCTGAACCTAAGAGGGTACAGACAGAGTTTTGCCTCTCTGACAGAAGATAAATATCCCAGCCCATTATTCCTCAAGTGGAACAACTTGGAGGTACATGGCATGGTGTTGCAGAGGGTGGCTAATGGAACCGAACCACAGTACCCAGCCTGCTCATTAGCACACCCTGTACCCTGTGCTTTCCTTTCCTCCTCCCACCTCCCCACTCCCCTGCCCGAGTTTCTCGGGATTACCTCCCAATGAACTGCTTGCATTTAGTCCTTGTCTGTGTGCTTCTGAGAGAACCCAGCCTAAGATATAAACTGATAAAGAGAGGTTAGAGGAAAATGAGAGTCATTCCAGGACACACAGAGGAGAGTTTCATGTGGGAACTGATCAGTGCACTTAATTAAATGCTGCAGGGAGGAGTGCTCCTACCAGGGCAGTGATGACCTAGACCCGTGGTTCTCAACCTGTGGGTCACAACCCCTTTGTTCCATTTGTAACAACACAGCAATTAGGAAGCTTGAGAACCACTGACCTAGGCAGAGGGATAACAGAAGAGTAGGATTTCAAATGTCAAAAAAAAAAAAAAAAAAAGCGGATTGGAAAAGCCCAGGGACCAGAGCCTACTTTTTAAAATAAGGTAATAATATGATCTAGTACATGGTGGGTGTGGGGGGGTGGGTGGAAGGAAGAACAGAGGGAGGGAAGGAGGGAGGGGGGTGGGAGAAGGGAAGAGCAGAGAGAAGGAAGAAGGGAGGGGGTGGGGGTCTTGGTGTGTGACACACTTTTGGGGGGCAAGAAACAATTACAAGAGGGACTTTACCTAACAAATGCAATCAGTGTAACCTGGTTTCTTGTACCCTCAATGAATCCTCAACAATAAAAAAAAATTAAGGCTTCGCACCTATAGGTCAGCGGCTAGGGCATCAGCCACATACATTGGAGCTGGTGGGTTCGAATCCAGCCTAGGCCTGCCAAACAATGACAACTACAATAAAAAAATAGCCGGGCATTGTAGGGGCGCCTGTAGTTCCAACTACTTGGGAGGCTGAGACCAGAGAATTGAGTAAGCCCAAGAGTTGGAGGTTGCTGTGAGCTGTAATGCCAGAGCATTCTACTGAGGGTGACGTAGTGAGACTCTGTCTAAAAAAAAAAAAAAATAAGGTTATGATAAAATTATAATTAGATACGAGATCGAGGGAGGTGTTGAAAAGCATAGTTATATGCTGAGTAGAAAAAGCCGGTAAGAAGAAAATGTTGAAAATAGAGGAAAGAAGAATGTAATTTGGTGGGCGAGGTCTGCAAAGCAGTGGGAGAGAAGAGGACACAGTGGAAGACATAACCACAGGCAGGAGGAGAGACATCTCTTCCACTCAGACAAGAGAAAAGGAGGCACGAACAACTACCTGCAGACAATCTCGTGGGCTTAAGATCAAGGACTAGAAAAGACTCCTCCCAATAGTTTTGTTTGGTCTTTTTTAAGTGTAAGAGACAGAATAGGTGGGGGAGATCACTCATGGGGTAGGAGAATGCTGACAGCACCAGTGGGCACAGATTTGGAGTGGCATTAATCCAAACAGCACTGTACTGCTAAAAACTCTCAATGTGTATGAACAGAATTTGATTAATCCACTGTTAGGTTTTATCAAGTAGATGAAACTTAAAGTCCAAGTTCTGGATGATTGAAAGTGTCAATTTTACAGGCTCACACTTGTAATCCTAGCATTCTGGGAGGCCAAGGTGGCAGGTTGCTTGGGGTCGGGAGTTTGAGACCAGCCTGAGCAAGAGCAAGACCCCATGTTTACAAAAAATAGAAAAAATGAGCCAGGTGTAATGTTGCACACCTTTAGAGGCTGAGGCAGGAGGATCACTTGAACCCAGAAATCTGAGGTTGTAGTGAGCTATGATCATACCACTGCACTTTGAGGTGACAGAGAGAGACTGTTGCAAAAAAAAAAAAAAAAGTGTAACTTGAAACAATGGTCAGGGACTGAAGATAAATTAGAATGGTCTGATGTGAGCAGAGAAAGTCATGTGGGGAATCTAAGAGCTAAAGGGGCAGGCTGGGATCACAGATAGAGTATGGAAGTTTAAGACTTAAGAAAGACACTTGGGCTTAGTGCCTGTGGCTCAAGCGGCTAAGGCGCCAGCCACAAACACCTGAGCTGGCGGGTTGGAATCCAGCCTGGGCCTGCCAAACAACAATTATGGTTGCAACCAAAAAATAGCTGGGCGTTGTGGCAGGCACCTGTAGTCCCAGCTACTTAGGAGGCAGAGGCAGGGGAATTGCTTGAGCCCAGGAGTTGGAGGTTGCTGTGAGCTGTGATGCCATAGCACTCTACCCAGG